CCCCAAGAACATAAATATTATCTGAAAAAAATCATAAAAATCTAACTCTCATGCAGTCAGTCTTTGTGAGGCTTTGGCAAGCTTTTAAATGTGGCACTAAAAAAATGCAAATCCTAAGTGCTCAATCAATGAGAAAAAGAAAACAAAAATACACTCTTGAGATTCCAAGCTAGCTAGCGTTTATTCATTTATTTTTCCTGAATAGTTGTTCAACCTATGCTGGGACGAACAAGTGTGTTTGTACACTAAAAGAAGTATGGAAATTCCTATCACGAGTCTCCTTAACTTTTGACATCGTGATACTGTTTGATAAAGATAAGCAGACAGTTACTTGACATCTAGTAGATTTCACCATTCTTTGGTGAATGCGTTTAGAGTTACGAAAATTGCTACCATGGAGTTGATGTTTACCATACTTGAACCATTGTACCTCAGACTATTTTTTTTTNTTTTTTTTTTTTTTTTTTTTTTTTTTTTTTTTTTTTTTTTGGGTGAGCTACTTTCCGTCGAAACAAGAAGAAAAATACAAACCACGCGACTTCATAGCTTAATTGTAATGCCACCTACGGAACTTTCACGTATTCGTAACTTGGCAACGTTGTAGCGGGCGGGGAGACTTATTCGTGAACTTGCCATTGCCGGGAAAAGGCGTGTACTGTGATAAAGGAATAACATATGCAACTCCGGAGAAAATCCATGAGGGGGGCAAAACCGCTGATTTTGAATAACCCTCTTTCTCGCAAAGTCAGCAAAATTTCTGTCATCTGTAATATTTAATTCCATTTAATTTGTCATTCAGAATGGCTTAAAGTTGCTCTTGAGACGCTCCAATTTTCAAAAATTTTCCGGGCGAGACCCCCAGACCCCCCTCTGCAACTGAGTGCGTCCCCTAGACCCCCCTCAGCTCATGACTATATCCTCCTGTGCCTCCCCCCCCCACAAAAATTGTCTAGTTCCGCCCATGGTTTTGGTACGGTTCGCGTTGAATGGAGCACGAATATCAACAGAAAAATCGCGAATCTCCAGAATCGATCGATTGATTAAAGCTCTAGTTACTTTGTGTTCCCCTCCCCATATTGACCGAAAGTGTTTGTTATATTTCCTGTTACTTAAAGATAAATAAACAGGAATACGTTTTCTCGCGAACGGCCTCTAAATAAGAAGGCTCAGAACTACCATGCCGGTCCTAGTCTGGTTATCCCCGATTTGACAGCATCAGAACAAGAATATGAATAATTTACTGCAAATCCATTTTGCCGGCAATGCTAGTGTAACAGTTGGATCAAAACCCGATAATGATATTAAAGTCGTATTAGTCCATGTCGCGCATGCAGCCAAAATCAATCAAGAGGCTATGAGGGTACGAGCATGTGTGCAATGTGTTGCAATTTTTCTCGTGATAAAATCCCATATGCTGAACTAATTCTTCCAAAGCGAAATGCAATAAATCATTGCCAATAGACATCAATGCGCGTATATTACGCAAATGAGGTTGATGAGTTAGACTCTTAGTTTTGCAAGGAATAACGGCAGAAATCGAAAAAATTTCTCCGAGGCTTTTCACTTTTACGAGCTTTTACATCACTCGTTTGTATTATTGCCTTAAGAGAAGCCAGAGGCCACTATAGGTGAAAAAATAAAACATAAATTAACTCTTGCAACGCTCACAAAGCACCTGTTCCAAAATGAAATTCAATAGTTTAGCTCGCAAAAATGTACCTACATCTGCTAAACGCCGCAAATTTACAACAGTTGTACCACGAAAAAATTTTCCCCAGTCCATAAATTGAAAAGAATGCCCACTCAGAACAAGACAATTTGACTGAAAAATATTGTACTCCTATACTGTCGTGCTAAGGAAGTACGCCGTATGAAAATTCGAGAGTTGCCGAATTTCCCTGGATAAAACATGTATTTTTGAGGAAGCTGGTGCATATTTTTTATCGATATTTTTAGATATTCTAGATAAAATTGAGAACAAAATTTTCTGAAAAATTGGAAGAAAAATATTAACAAACTTTCCGAAACTTCGTAATGTACCAAAGGAAATTTAGCAACGCCTGAAGGCTCATATGGCGTCTGCCCTTAGTACGGCCTTAGTAGTGCCTTGGTATGTGGCATTGTAAACGCAACCGTTTGATTCTTGTTAAGACGCCTATCATTTTTTGTCGATGTCTCCTATTTTTTATTTTATCTATTTTTTTTTTCCTTTTTTTTTCTTTTTTTTACAAGCTTCAGAGAGCCCCTATTGGTTAATCCCACACTACCACCAGTCCCAGATGGCCATGGTCTGAGACCATCAAACTCAGGTCATTTGGCCGGGAATCGAACCCATGACCTCTTACAACCAATGCATCACAGGAGGCCGACATACGTTTCATTTACAGAACATTTACATTTTTTTTTTTGTTTTTTTTTTTTAAATTCCAATGATTCTCACACTCATTCTTTATAGGCCCGCTACTGCAATAGTATCAGGTAGGTATCAGTAGGTTGAGCCCATGAACTTGTCTCATTTTACCATCTGCTTTTGTAGGGTGAAACGAAGTGAAATATACTCACTCCACCTCCTCCACTGCTGCTCCCAAGGAGACCGGACAGAAGGCTCAAAATGTTTGAGCCTCCACCGCCTCCGCCACCTCCTTCACCGTCCTCGCCGTCGCCGCCTCCTCCACCTCCTCCGCCCTGCAAAAGTAAATCATTTTCATTCATTAACAAATCATTTTAATTCATTGAGAAATCATTTTAATTCATTGAAAAATCACTGTAATTCATTGAGAAATCATAAAGAACGTTTAAGGCGCAACCTCTACTTGAGCCCCTTCATATTTTGCTAATACATTCCGCTTTGCCAGGTAGTTAGTGAAGTTGCCAAACCAAACCCAACAGAGGTTACACATCTCATTACCTCCTTTTGCGAGTGTGGTATCTGGCATCATGGATTCGAGAAAAAAATATCTGTTTGCACTCCAAGTATGAAAGCTGTCTATCTTGTTTCTCTAATTCTGATCTTTTACATTTTTTATTTTAAAAGAAAATATTTACATCTTTCTTCATCTATTTGATGGGACATTCAGTTATCGGAAACCTTATCTTCTTAAGATGCTAATTTCAAATTTTTGGGGGCGATTGAAATGTTTTTTTCTAAAGAAACAAAGGATTTTACGAGAGGCAATGAAGCAAATTAAATTAAGGTCATAGTGTGTTTTCAGAGACTATGTTTCGTTTTGCGCCTCTTATCCATAGCCTGCTCCTCGAGAGCTCTCGGCGGCCCACGCCACACAGTGGATCGAGTCAATAGGAGGGATCGGACAAATTGTTCAAACTTTAAACGCTTATAACTCCGTTTATACAAATCTTTGAGGTTCCAAAAGTGTGGTGGCCGGGATCCGAGAAAAAAAGTGCTCTTTTTCTCGGATCCCGGCCACCACCATGTGGGGCTCAGGTTTTCATCGTTTTTTTTTTTTTTAAATTTTCATCGTATTTCCGACTGAAAATGACTCAGTTGTAAGCGATACGTCTCGGTTTTTATTAATCGTGTATTTCAGCCTTGTTTCCCGTTTTCCTTCTTGTTTTTCCACTGGAATCCCTCGTCTTCTGTAGTAGTGCGTTGAGATATATCATTTGGACTGCATTTTGCAATTTGGACCTATAAATTCCGGCCCGGTTTAAAACAACGTATGTGCCATTAGCTTCCCTATGCACATAAGTGTTTTTTTCAGATGAGCCAGAATTTATAGGTCCAAATTGCAAAATGCAGTTCATTTCATTTGGCCATTTCCTCCGGTTTATTTTAGAGTACCTGTATAGCGAGAGTATGGACAGATGTGAAACTCCGAAAATCCATCAGGCCTTCACCGATGCTTCTGGGAATAAAGTTAGGGCCCAGAAACGCAGCCAACCTATGAATTTCAATTATCCAGAACGATTTACTAATACTATTGTTACGAACCGTCGTTTATTAAGCACGTGTTTGACTCAGTTTTTGCATAAATTTACTCAACTTCGCGGAAGAACGCTCATTTCTGTACATTCTTGGCCATCATGGTTAGAAATGGAATCTGCAGACTGGCAGTGAAATTTTGTGCGTTAGAAGTTGGTTAGAAGGGTGGCTGCACTTTTAAGCCCTAAGCCCTCCATGAAGCGATCTGTCCATACTCTCGCTATACAGGTACTCTAGTTTATTTGAATTCCCGTGTGAAAGTGATAACTTACTCCACTGCTGCTGCCCAAAAGCGGGCCAACGAGATTGAGGATGGACGCGGATCCAGATCCTCCGCCGCCGCCACCGTCACCACTCTCTCCATCGCCTGAGCCCTGCACTCCGGCGCTTCCGGAACTACCCTAAAAGATTTCAAATTCAATTTGAGAAACACGACATATGCACGTATACATATCAATAACAGGAAACGAATAAGAGAAGAACCCCTAATAATATCCATCAGCGTTCGAAACTCACAGAAGCCAAGTGCGCCTAGAAAATCGGCCTTGGCGCCCAAAAAATGAAGGCTTTGCGCCAACGTGGCCCCTAAAAATTGCCTCTTAAAAATCTGAATTTTCATATTAGGTGATTATTCGAAATTTCCAGCACTACAAGTGAAAGCTTTTTCTATTCTTCACGATTCCATCCTTAGTGCTTTTGTCTTCCCCAAGTTACGACTACTTACTAGTTCTGTTATGCGAAAACATCTTGCGTCTTTTTTTTCACTAAATGCGCCGTAATACATAGGCAAAAAGTCAATTTGGCCCCTAAAAAATCTTCAATGGCGCCTAAAAATTGGGCTTGATGCGCCACATGGCTCCTAAAACTCAAAGGCGAGTTTCGAACACTGGTTTCCATGAACCTGTCGACAAGTACTTTCCTGTGAAGGAAATATTAAGAAGATATTTTCCAGTAACTCATTTTCAATTCTATGATAATTTAAATAAAGAAAGTATTCATCACCTCCAATTGTTACCTTTAAACCATAATTGGACACTATTTCTCAAAACAAAATCAAGAGACATCAGCAACTGCAATATTTCATGAGACAATTCACATTAAACGACAGTTTTGATTCTCGTGAGACTTGCGAGGAATTTGTCATTATATAACGAATATACAGGGGCTTTCTATAGAAAGCCCCTGTCCTTGCGGTACATTATATCACAGGAATACAGGAAATATTTGGATGATATGATTAAACTGTACTCTTTTGTAAAAAAAAAAAAAAAAAAAAAAAAAAAAAAAAAAAAAAATTAAATAAACTGTCCAGAGGCACTAAACATCAATTTATGTAACTTAGTGTGCTTCCGGTAGACATAGCCCAATTGGACACCTTCATGCTAAAAGGGTCTATGTGCAAGTGGAAATATGGGGTGCATTCGTGGTGACCTGGATAAGAAGCACTGTCAACGTGGATAAAGTTCCTTTTGAGAAAATGGAAAAGCGGGATTTGACATTAAATCAAAAGAAACTGAGCGCCAATTCGTGAGCCGTGGACATGTGACAATAGCGTTGTGGACACGGCTCATGAGTTAAAGCTGAGCAAGAACGACATTGGAGACGCTTTCGTTGCCGCTGACGTCACGGGCGCTTTACAATCCCCATTGATTCTTATGGCCCGAGCACTAATGAGCACACCCGCAATCTTTCCACTTAATTGCGCATAGTTCTATTTAGCATAATTACGTCCAATTATGCGTGGGGCTGTCATACTTTCTAGAACATGAAATAGTTTTATTTAGGGCGGAGCTACTTTGCTACTAACTAAATCAATTTACCGGAGAACAAAAAATTTATTGTAACTGAAGCAACTCTCAGAAAAGTCCATCCGACTTAGAGATCAAACTATTGCGACAAATGGACAGATACATTGATGGATCAGCATATGCGTTTTTTGGGTTTAGGCAGTCGGAAACACTATCTCCGTTTTCGTCTGCCATTAATTCTTTTGGGAAGGGAGCGGCCTATGAACAAAAATTGGACTACATTTTGCAATTTAGAACTATAAATTCTAGCCCGGTTTAAAACCAACGTATGTGCCATTAGTTTCCCTATGCACATAAGTGTTTTTTCAGACGAGCCAGAATTTATAGTTCCAAATTGCAAAATGCAGTCCAATTGTTGTTCTCCGTACGAAGGAACGTAACTCCAGTCAACGGTTGCAACATTACATTGACTCAAACAATTCGATTTTTTTACAAGAATGTACCTAGACAATTTGCGCCCAAAATTTTTCTGATTTTTGCGTGAGATCGGAAGAAAAATCATTGATAGTTTCCGTAAGAAAGTCCAATATTTTCCTCGTGAAAATTCACTATGCGAGGGGAAATTTGGCAACATTGAAATAGTTCCGTTCGATCCGATTTGGACCATGTAACCTCCTCCTTGCTGGACTGAGCATGATTTTTCTGACCAAAAAAATGCACATGTTTTCTTTCATCATGTACATATTTTATGGGAAAATGTTTTCTAGGTCCAAGACTTCATTCTAGATCTACAATCGTTATTTTTAGGGAAGTAGTTCCTCGCGAATGAAGAAAACGGTAACACAGTCTCAGCAATACCTAATGCCTTTTGGTATGAGTAGAACCTCCACTCTAGATTGCACTATGACTCTTTTTTTTCAAGCCATCAATCGAACATTTGATAAGAGTCCAGCAGACTGATCATTAAGATTAATACACAAATCCGTTGGCGGAGGACCTTGTCGTGTAAGGAGCTGGTTGCGTTGGACAGCGCGGGCTGATTGTTAAAATTGGTAGACATAGCAATAGACAAGGAAGACAAAATGGATATCGAGGGATCCTATTAGTGGAAGCAAATGGTTTTCATGGACGAAGGAGGTAGACAGTTAATGGACTAACTAACGGCAACCCACGAGAAACCCTTTAGTTTGTCCATAATTTTCTTCCTCAGTCTATAAGAACCACCCATTTCAACGAATAGAATCACTCCATACTCCTTATATCTTCTTTTTATATGGCTGTGTCTATCTATATCAACAATCTGCTCGCACAGGAGGTATGTAATAGACTAACTAACGGCAAAGACGAGTTATCCTACCGCTAGTACATCATTTTCTTCCTTTGTCTATAAGAACGACCCGTTCTAACCTATAGGATCACTTTATGTTCCCTATGTCTTCCTTGTCTATCGCTTTGTCTATCGCTTTGTCTATCAATCTCAATCATCAGCCCGCTGGATCGCTCCACTTTCTCTTCGTCTTCTTTGTCTATAGCTTTGTCTATTGATTTGCTATAATGTGCCCGCAGGTACCTATGCTATACGAATACTATATCTATAAGAACCACTCGTTTTAACCAATAGGATCGTTCCATTTTCTATTTGTCTTCACTGTGTATAGCTTTGTCTATCGATTTCAACTATCAGCCCGCAGGACAGCAAGAGTTTTCTCCGCGCAATACTGCGCATGCGCGATAATACCGCAGAGAGGAGGAAACTAAGCGTGAAAGTAGATTTGCATACCCTCACTTTACAGATATCGTTTAAAATCCCATCAGTGTCCTTGAGCGTTTTGCATGTGTCTCAATTGGACAGCGCTAATCCTCCTTTGATTGTTTGTTGAATTCCATCGGTGGCGCTCGGCTCGCTTCGAAAGCGTTTCAACGCGACGCCGCGCCGCACAGTGGATCGAGTAAATTAGAGAGGTCCGGACATGAAATTTTTGACTAAAACTGCAAATTTTGATGTTTATTTCGTCACATTTTTAATTTCAAAGTGTGCATTAAGAAGAAAATGTTTTGAGAAAACCGATTTAGCCACTTTCAGAACCTTAAAGTTTTGTATAAACGGAGTTATAAGCGTTTAAAGTCTCCAAATCTTGTCTGACCTTTCCTATTGACATGATCCACTGTGCGCCGAGCGCACTACCGTTCTGCTCGGAACGAAACCCCGACTTGAGGCATAATCATGGCATGGATCGATGACGAGTGGCCGATTTTTACCCGATGATGGGCTTGTGAGTCCAAGCAGGTGACCACCGGGTCATCCTGCGACCCTGACCGACCGCAAGCCGCATCGCAATACTTTGCGGCTGATGATTTTCATACGAATCATGATGAGTGTTCATTTGGAAAACAGTCGTGTCTAAAAGAAGCATCGTTTCTCTCTTGAACACAATAGCCTGTGTCGCACTATCAAAATATTCCTTCAAAATGTCAAGGTCAAGCGCTGTGATTGGTCCAAGTCATCGAATAGGCCAATCACAAGCTTTGATAGTGTGACACAGGCTTGTCGCGCTGAGAAAGAACGCCGTGCGAGCATTTGAATATTGTCAAATTGCCCTGAATGATATCTTCAGTGGTGTCAGTAGCCATGTTTGCAGACGAGCAATTCGTCGAAAAGTCGTCGAAAGTTTAAAATTGGTGGGGGGGGGACCTTTTTTTTAATGGGCACTTGAATCCGCCGTGGCGAATTTCGCGTGAATCTGCCCAAGTGTTACTTAATTTTCCTCGATGATGTTCACCTCAATGCCTTATTCCTTATTTTCTCCCCCGCCCCCAATTTTTCCTTTCTCCCCAACCCTTCATACCCCCATATTTCTTCCCCCCCGTTTTTCTGTGCAAAAGTTTCGTTTAATTTTTTAAAAAAGAAAAGAAAAAACTAAGATATATTTACACTTGAAAATTAAGCAAGTTTCTGCAGTGGAAAAGGAGACAAAACTGCTGAATACAGCCTCAAATTTCCTCTAGAGAGCATCGAATTATAAACATTTTGTCGGAGGAGGCTCCCCGGACACCCCCTGGAGATCCGCGACTGTTTTAGAGTAGAGGGGTGCAAAGTAATGAAATAGGGGAGGGGGACCTCGTCTAGTGCCTGGGGGGAGGGGGCTATGACACCACTAAAAATATTTATTTTTTTAAACGTTCTGCTTATTTTTCCTTGACATTTTTGAATAAACTAGACCAAATTGGGCAGAAAATCCGCTGAAAATTTCCGAAAGAAAAGTGCTATATAGTCTCTTTAAAAAATCGCATTTCACCAGAGGACATTTGGCAATGCCCGAATGCCCATAATTCGTTTTCCCCGAAGACGGCAATATAACGCCTTTGTAGGGAGACTTTTGGCACTAGGGTTCAATTTGTGAGTGGCTCAGCCATTTTAAGTTTTATGGGGCCATCTGACATCAAAAGATTCATGGCCAATTTCAGACCTGAACAAAGTGCCCGGTGCAAGTTACAAAGCTCCTTCTTGTCCGCGGTATTTTGTCGTTAATTTTATCTCCGTCTTGGAAATGGAAGATGCTGAATGAGAGGCATTTCAAATGTTCTGTATTTTTAACTGAGCAATTACGTCGCACAACATTGGCCTTTTTGAGTTTTTTCAGAAATCTTGAGGCCAAAATGACTAGTACGGATCGCATATACTTTTTAAAACAAGAAACTCAACCCTGCGTTTCTTTCACAGATCGTGAAGATACGAGTCGATTGCGGACGTTATCAATGCGATAATTGTTCTCTTCGTAGCCATTTTTCATAATTAACTTTATTTTTGCCTCATCTGTTCCAACAAACCCATTTGAAATGGGCTGAAAATCAGACGTGATCATGTTAAAGGGGTTTCTTTTTTATCTGTAAAATTGCATTATGTCCTTGGCATCTCACTGAGTTTTTTTTTCAGCAGGGTTAACCTACTTTACTGGTACCTTATGTAAATTTTTTAGCTTTTTTAATGCAATTTCTTGTGAAGTACGAATATTGACCACTCACCACTGAGGGCAAAAAGGCTCAAACTTACCGATGCGCCCGCACTTAAGGCACCACTGCTAGCTCCTAATGCGGCAGTCAGAAGTTCTACTTTTCTTTTATCTCTCCTGACAGTTTTTCCTAGTTCTTGTAGGTCATCTAATGCCTTGTCAGGATGCTTCCTTTCCTTTTTCAGAATATCTAAAGCTGTATTTATCACTTCTTGCTCGTACAAGTCTTCTATAGCTTTTTTAATGCAATTTCTTGTGAAGTACAAATATTGACCACTCACCACTGAGGGCAAAAAGGCTCAAACTTACCGATGCGCCTGCACTTAAGGCACCACTGCTAGCTCCTAATGCGGCAGTCAGAAGTTCTACTTTTCTTTTATCTCTCCTGACAGTGTTTCCTAGTTCTTGTAGGTCATCTAATGCCTTGTCAGGATGCTTCCTTTCCTTTTTCAGAATATCTAAAGCTGTATTTATCACTTCTTGCTCGTACAAGTCTTCTAATTTTAAAGCGGCTACGTCTAGCGCTGCTGATCGCAGCACATCGTCGCCATTCTGAAAACAAAGAAAGTCAATTAAGTACAGATGTATTTATAACAATTCTGCAAATTATTAATGTTGAAGTTAAAAGTTTTCAAGTTATTTTTAGGAAATAAGAGTTGACAGAGCCAAGAGCCTGCCTCCCAATTAGAAAAGTGCAATGAAAATGTTGATATAAAATTGCAATATTTTGACATCATTCAGTCAATGCATTCCAATTTTAAACGATCAATTAGATGAGCTTCAAGTAACTGAAACACAGGCAATTTGCACTGCAATTGAAACATTGCAACATATTTTGATTTTATGGCAAACAAATTCAGTAATAGCAGGATGTCCCTTCAATCGAGTGAGAGGCAACATACACTACACTCTTTTGCAATAGCAATATAGTCTTACCACGTAATGGAGAATTTGCATGCAACTTTTTTATCGCTTCATCTGAAAGTGCATAAAGAGCTGATTTCGCGGTATTTTTATAATATTTTTCTGATATGGGAAATAGTATAAAAATAGATTTAAACGTGAGAAAATGTACCGCCTGGTGTTGTCATCTGGCGACATTTCCCATTTAAACACACGTATTTTAGCAGATAAGTCATTTTATCTTATTTTCTCTGATAATTGTTCAATTCATGAACCAAAGGTATCCTCGTGATCAGTTCATTCAGTAGTTTCCACTTAAACACAAAATTTTAATTTCTAATTTCAGACACCTGCAAATTATCCATTGAAACGTATTGCGATCGGTGCGAATTGGACTGGTGGGAAAAGTTGGATCTGGCAAAGGGCAAAAGAATGCACGAGAGTTTATCCGAAGATGAGGGACAATCCCCCTTTAGATGAGTAAATTATACATAATGACAAGCAATGTCCCATTAACGTAAAAAATCGAGCTCCTTTGTTTTCTCAGTTTTGCCGTGAATATTAACAACACTTTTACGTATGCGTAATGAAAAAATAAATAGGAAACGAAGGCTAAAATTCGGCAGCATTGATGTGAGATGACCTCTTCGTGACAATATGTGACGTACGAGAGATACAATCTTCACGCTGAGTTGACGTGATGAGACACAGCTATGTTAAGAGGAAGGAGAGCCATTCTACCGTTCTAAGGAAGAACGCTGTATGAACATTCGAGAGTTGCCAAATTGCCTTCGATAAAATGCTCATTTTTGAGAAGAGTTCTGAACATTTTTCCTTGAAATTTCCAGAAGTTTTAGATCAAATGGCAATAAAAATTACCCGAGAAATCGGAAGAAAAATATTCACAAATTATCTTGAAAATTGCTGTTTTGTCGAAGGAAATTTGGCAACGCCTAAAGGTTCATACGACGTTTTCCCTTAGAACGGCAGCGTTGCAGTATCTTCACACGTACAGCTTTCCTGGCTCCTTGAGGTCATCGACAGATTCTGCCCTGTGGGCTGATCATTGAAATTGATAGACAAAGCTATAGACAAAGAGGACAAAACAAAAATAAATCGATCCTATGAATGGGAGCGGTTGGTTGCAATTGACGAAAGAGGTAAGTAATAGATAAGCTATCAACACCCAATAGTTAACCTATAATTTTCCTCCTTAGTTTATAACAACCACTGGGTTCAACCAGTAAGGATCGCTCTTTGTTCCTATGTCTTCTTCGTCTATAGCTTTATCTGTCAATTTCAATAATCAGCCCGCAGGCTCTGAATATGTGTCTGCAAAGGCTGAAACCCTAGACTATTCACCTGTCTTCGGATCCTCCTCAAATTTCGTGTGCCATTCCCTAGCGTATAACAATCTGTTTTCTGAGGATTTCAACCTCGGGAAAAATCTCCTTTCAGCTGGGCAGCGAAGATTTGAAACCTTCGAAATAGCTCTCTTCGCGAGGAAACCTCTGAGCAAAGACCTTTTAGATTCACAAGAGAATACATGAAGTATTTTCAAAATTAGATTATGTGACCGATTTACTTTTGGAGATCTGTATCTTTTTTGACTCTCTTGAATGCTGGTACGCTTGCGAATGTTTGTGGTTAAATCGGAGTCATGAATCGAGTTCGGCTCCGATAGGCAAGTAAACCTACTACGTGGCAAAGCGTAGAGCATCACTTAAAAATGCAGGCGCTCCAAGGCCAGTATCGCAGGTACTTATAACATCCCTCACCAACTGGAGCACCATAATAGTGCATTTTCGAAATACGCGTTGTTATCATTTTTTTTAGACATTTCTTTAAAAATTAAAGTCGATCTATTTGTTTTATTTCATTTTTTTAAACAAAGGCATTCCTAACATTTCAAGGTATCTTTTTTTTCAAATTAACACTTAAAATAAGAGAAAGAAGTTACTCATAATTCATTATATTCCCTTCAAATACTCTTGGTTAACTGTGTGATAATTTCGACTTCATAGCTTGATATTAACCTACATGCAGAGAAATAAACCGTCTCAGATGAAGAGAAATAACTTTCGTCGCAAGGTAAACGAAGATTTAGATCGAAAGAATGGGCCTGTTGCATGCAAGAGATACAGCCGTGCGAATAGACTTTTTAGAGGCTAAATGACACGAAAATTACGATGGTCACATTAAAAAAGTCTGAAATACACTCCTTACTGCGCAATTTGCGTTGTTAGGAACGCGCTTTTTCAAATTTCCCGCGTCTGGGGGCAGTTTTCTAACGGCAACTCGCGGCTATTTCCGGTCAACTAAAACTGACAACATAACCTAAAAATCGGAGCTTGTGATATCGTGAAATGAACTGTAGAAGGATTGCGTTGGATATTTAAAAGTTGATCGATTTCGTTACCATATAAAGCGTACATGGACCACTATAAGAGATCACGTTGGGTTTGTAAACAAACTGAAGGAAAAAGTAACAACAACAACGACTTGGCATCTTCCGGAAATCACCAGCCCGCCGTTTGTTCGTTTCCGGTGATTAGAAAACTGCCCCCAGACGCGGGAACTTTGAAAAAGCGCGTTCCTAACAACGCAAATTGCGCAGTAAGGAGTGTATTTCAGACTTTTTTAATGAGACCATCGTAATTTTCGTGTCATTTAACCTCTAAAAAATCTATTCGCGCGGCTGTATCTCTTGCATGCAACAGGCCCATTCAACACGATGCGTCTTTTCTTAAACACGGCGAGTTCCCTCTTCAGCGCAATGCGAAAATGCCATCAGCGGGCTGATTATTGATATTGACAGGCAAGGCTATAGATAAAGAAGGCATAGGGAGTATGAAGCGATCCTATTGGTTGCATGGATTGGTTATGATAGACCAAAAGGAAAACTGATGGACTAACTATAGGGTCTCGTGTCGGTTGCCGTTAGTCAGTCTATTATTTACCTCAAATGTCCATTGCAACCACCCATTTCAACCAATGGGATTGCTCCATGCTCCTTGTAAGTCTTCTTTGTCTATAGAATTGTCTATCAATTTCAATAATCGCCCCGCTGAACAGTTTATTTCTGATTTCGAGACCAAAAACGTCCATCATTCGAACGTAAATAACAATGAGTTTGAGGCTGTAGCAGCGTCCTTTTTTTTCTACTCTAAAATTCGTTGGCGAATCAAAGCCGAACCGGTTGTAATTATTGTGCGCGAGGGTGATATTTTTTCGGTCTCACGCGGTGATATTTTTTGTGCAGTGACCTTGAATCGAATTGGGACGTCCGTTTTGCATGCTGACGAGAGGCATGTGATAAGTGACGCAATCTCTTATCGCCTGGACACACGATCAATTAATGATGCATTACCTTAGGAATGAGCGAAGGTGAGCGGCCCAGCTTAAGCGGTTTAGCCGGGTGACAGTCCCGAAATCCACAAGAGAAAGGTCAGACTCAGTTGCGTTTCTATTTTCATGATTATTTATCAAGTTTCCTCATCAATATAAACTGGACTGAAAACTAGACGTATTTATGCGAAAAGGAACTTTGCGCAAGTGGAAAGATGGGATGTGCTCGTGTATCGCGAGTGTCAATATATGAACAGCTGAACTACTAGTGTAACAACAGTTTATAGGCTTTCTGCTTGCAACTAATGCGGATGCGTTGTTGACAGGCTCGGACTGGCCATAAAGCCAATCTGCCATTGGTAGATACGCCCATTGGCGCGCCGAAAACGCGCCCCTCTGACACATAGCAAAATAAGAAGAGAAAAAAAGTTACGACCGAGAATATATGCGGAAAATTGTTTAAATAAACGGAAGAAGAGCGAGTTAGGAGTAAAGTGTAGGAGAGCTTGCATGATAGTGGTGAACAGAGGTCCAAGAACTACTTTCTGAAGCGTAAACAGTTTTCTGTGAGATTCTACCTTTTTCTTGACACACAGGTGCTTTATCATACCCCTATTTCATTCGCTATGTGTAACTCCCTTAGAAGCGATGATCGGTTCAAATTTTAGACATACGCACCCTTCATAGACCTTTTGAGAGACCTTTAAACAATTTCTTCCTTTTCAAAATAACTATTGATTTGAATATACCATAGCATATCTCGGGCAAACTTAACCTTAATGTATCTCGAAATTCAAAAATAAGAGGCATCTGAAGTGTAAACGCGATACAACTATTTGCGCAAGATGGATGTCCACATCGCATATGAAGAATGTAAGACGCGATGGCGTGAGTCGTGAACCCGCAGTGCTCTGCTCTATGCTACTAGTTTAAAGCACCATTACGAATAAGACAAGCGCAAACAAACACAATATGGAAATAAAGCGAGGGAAAGGATGCGCGTTTACGACGGCGCAGAGATACAACTATTCGTGCTTGATGGACGTCCGTGCTGCGTCCGAAAAATTGAAGGCGCGATGACGCGAAGCGTGAACTCTCAATGCTCTGCTATATGTTGTCAATGAGTTGTGGCTCAGATTCGGGAGAAAAGTTAAAAAAGAGGCCCGAATACGTGTTTCCTGTCTTCGGCTGTGTTGATACTCGTTCTTTCTTCTTTTTTCAGGTTCTTGTCTGATTCTTTTTTAGGATGGATTTGCAGACCAACGTCTTAAGTTCGTGTAAACCGTAGCACTGGCTCGGTTCTTTTGGAAATAATAGTGCTTGGGTGCGTCTAGTGGCTTTCATTATTTATGTTTTATTTAATTTCAGAAGTCTGTCGGTTACTTCGATACATTCAATTTTGCAATTTTTACTCTTTGAGCCTGAAAATAGCGTAAACTTTGTGCTGCCTCGCCAAAATTTTTGAACCCCTCGCCACGTAGGGAATGCCCTACCAGGAAATATCCCATTACATCCCTTTAAAAAGCCAAGGGTCTACGCCCTCAGATGCGAGCCAGTCCGACCCTGGACACACACAAATGCCTATCACTACCTAATGGCCGTTGAGTGACAAAGTGGGTGTTGTTAACTTCTGATGGATTTACTCGATTTCCATGATGGTTGCCCGATAAAGTTTAATTCCAATCAACTCATCGAGGTTTTGGATTGTTGGCCGAGTGCTTGACTTTTGATTTGTTACCTTTTTTTTCTTCCTCTTCTTTTCTTTTCTTTTTTTTTCTTTTTTTTCTTTTTTTTCTTTTTTTTCTTTTTTTCTTTTTTTTCTCTTTTTCTTTTTTTTTATCTGTTACCTGACATGGGAATGACGTGGGCTACATTTTGCAATTTGGAACTATAAATTCTAGCCCGGTTTAAAAACAACATATGTGCCATTAGTTTCCCGTTGCACGTAAGTGCTTTTCCAGAAGAGCCAGAATTTATAGCTCCAAATTGCAAAATGCAGTCCAAGTATCCGTCTGAAAAAGAGTCAAAGAATTGCCCGCGGTCATTTTCGTTGACGATTTTCTGGGGTTTAACTACGCATCTTATAAGCGATCGAATATCGGACGCAACACAGGTCGGTATGGGTTCCCCGATGTAATCTTGGATGCTTGACCAATCAAAGCGACGCAACTGAATAGTTGGAGGTCGAATCTGAAGAAGACGCTACTTCACCGTTCATGTCTCATTATTCTTGACCAGGCTCCGTTTCAAATAGGCAACTCATGCTCTCTCCGGCTTCCAAAATAATAACTAGTCATTTTCTGCTAACAGCCCATACACCGGCAAACGTATGTGAGTTGTGAGTCATGGTGACAGAAATTGCCCTGTGGGAATAAGCAATGGTCAGCTCTGAGTGCGGCATCAGCGACATCTGACCAAAATTGATTCTGTGCATTTAGGCCGATGCGTCAAAATTCTCCTTGAAATCTCCTCGACAAAGGTCTAGACGTCTTCATAAATCGTGTTTAATGAACTTAAAAGTAGATAAAATCACAAGAGTTGTTAGAGGTAAGCCCAGCACAGGTCCAAACTAAGTAGAAAAAGTGAAGTGCTATTGAAAATATAGGAACGAAATAGGTATAGAGTATATTTCACACTAGAGCCGAAACAAATTGCCCTATGCTTAAAAGGCCGTACTGCAGGAAAATATTCTATGGGTAGATCTAATAATTGTTTCTTCAAAAAAAAAATTTTCTGAAAGTGCCCCCAATTAGACCTGTGGCTCCGTCGATTTTTCGAAAAATCCTATTTTTTCTTTTCTTAATTTTGGCGACGGTTATGGACAGAAACTCACGTGAAATGGCTGTCAGCTATCGATTTTTGACGCTGAATTCACCACCGGCCTTAAAATATTGGAATTTTAAGTTAAACGGGGATATATCAAGGTATCTTGGATCTTCCAGGATAAAAACATAGATTTTCTCCCCTTGGACCAGCTGTAGGTCGCCCTTCAACTGGTGATTTTGATAGTTTTAAGGCTATAGGTGTGAAATTAACGCAGGTGTTATAGGAAGTATCTATCTTTCATGAGTTTTGGTTCAAAATCATCGCCAAAATTAAAAGAAAACTAGTTTTCCTAAAGCTTTGAAGGACCGTGGCTCCAACGGGGGACAATTTTGGAAAAATATAGCTTATATTTTAATCCATAGAATACGCCCCTGCAGTCTGGCATTTTCAACCCTTTGTATCCAGTATTCCTCTGAAATACCCGAAGAGATATGACTACGGAATGGAAATGACTCCTCTGGCGGAGTTAGCTTCACTTTTATGAAGCATTACACACATGTATAGATGCTTCATAGAATGTACAAATGCATGTAAATGCTTGAAAGAATGTACATAATTCTTTCATCAGGAATCAGCGATTGGTACGTGTTGTAAATGTTGAAACTAGGAAACAGTGTAAGCTGAGCATAGCTTTGCGTGTACTTACTTCTAAGAGAGCAACTTCATTTTCCCTCTCAAGGGTTTTTTGTTTGAGATCTTCACTAGGTACAGGTAAACACGTTGCTAGGCAAACTAGGCAGGACAGACTGCCGATTAGCCGCAGCGTCACAGTCATTTTGATAATTTGTTTGATCTACACCTGAAACATTTGAAAAAATCACACATTAAGTGGTATCTCAGAAAATGAACATACGCATTCGACGCGTATTATTAAGCCGTATTGGGATCGCGTTAAGCTGAAAGGAACCAGGTCACATAAGCTACTTCCAAATTTACTTGGGCAATTTTTTTACATGAAATAACAGTTGTGCAGATGTTTGTGCTTTCAGTGTATGTTTTGCATAGCATGAGGCAAATTCTTTAAAATTTTCAGAGGAATCCGCGAAAACGTCCTCTTGTTAAAAATTAAACTGCCCAGGTAAATTTGACAAAAGGTGATGCTTTGCTTGGTTCCTTTCTGATAGACGCGGTTCATTTTATATGCACACATTGAGGACGATACACAGCAAAAATGAAGTTCGAGACTAAGCTTACAAAAGCTCCTCCTCCTCCCCCCTCTCCTCCTCCTTCTTATCCTCCTCCCCTCCTCTTCCAAAGGAGGTAAGTATTGTACTAACTAACAGCAACCCATGAGAGACCCTATAGTTATTTCATCATCTTCTCCAATAACCACCAAGGAATCACTCATTTCAACCAACAAGATCGCTTCATACTCCCTACGTCATTCTTTGTCTATCGTTTTGTCTATCAATTTCAAAAATCGGCCCGCAGGCAAGGGTCATGGTCACCTGGGAGGTGGGATTAGCCCTAAAAGCTTCTTAAAAATTGATAATAAAAAAATATATTTTAAAGCGGATTTCAATTCTAACGAATCGGCAAGACCTGGAGCCGGGTTTCCACTCTACTGTGCTAAGGAAAAATGCCGTATGAACCTCCAGGAGTTGCCAAATTTCCTCTGATTAAATACAAATTCTTTGGGAAAATTGTAAATGTTTTTCTTCCAATTTTTCAGACTATTTTGTTCGCAATCGTGTCTAAAATATCTGAAAATTTTGAGGGATGATAAACATAAATTGGACGTATTTCTATCAAACGGACCTAAGCACTATAGGGGAAGGAAAGGAGAGGGGGGCTTGGATTGGCGGGTGCTGCGGAACGCAATGCTCCCTCCTCCTATACTCGCAATGCTTTTCCGTGGCGCTTATAGGTCCGTTTGACAGAACGCGCTATCCGGGATTCTAAAAACTTCAAAAGGAACTCAATTTGCCGCTTAGTTCCGTTTGACAGAAATACGTCCAATTTTGTAAAAAAATACATGTTTTATCCGGGGAAATTTGGCAACTCTCGAATGCTCATACGGCGGTCTTCCTTAGCACGGCAGCACTGCACTTAGCGAGGGATTTTCGCGGACGGCGCACAGTGGATCGAGTCAATTAGGGAGGGCGGACATGAAATTTTTTTAATAAAACTGCAAATTTCGATGTTCATTTCGTCACATTTTAAATTATAAGGGGTACTTTTAGAAGAAAATTTTACGAGGAAACGAACGGAGCCACTTTCAAAACCTCGAAATTTTGTTTAAACGAAGTTATAAGCGTTTAAAGTTTCCAAATTTTGTCCGACCTCTCCTATTGACTCGATCCACTGTGCGGCGGTGCGGCGCAATGCATCGGGTCACGGGAGGGGGTGGAGAGGAGGGTTGGTTGCTGTGCGCGTGCGCGTACGGGCACGAACGGAAGCGGATCGAGTCGATCACGCTCACTTTCGTTCACCTAGACACATATTCGACGTATCTTCGCATTACTATACGACCGCTCTTTCCGCTCATCGGTGCCCAAGCGTGAATCTCCAACCAGTCGTATTTTCCCGTTCCAAGCCAAGAAAAAGTATCGATTAAAATCGCGAGAATAACAACATCCTGATAATCGACCCTCGCAGTATGTGTGAACGGCGGCGATCGATTGATCGCCGACCACGGGACGCCACGATCGCGCCACGGTTTCTTTCCATGCGTGCGCGCGCGTACCAACCCCCTCAAGGATCAGCATTCGGATGGGTGGAAAGGTAGCTCTAGAGAGAGGATGTTGGAGCGGTCAACGGTCGATGCTCGTGGTGAGTATCGGGGTCAGTGTTGAGCTCTCGCGAGGTGCCCGGATTTCAGCTAACCCTGCGAAAATTTTGCAAGGAAAATGAATGTTCCGTTGCACTCATTGAGTAAAATAGAGTCGCAATGTTCTGAAGCGCCGATGAAGTCACTTTTTAAGGCTGTTTTGTCCTGCAGCCTGATTGTTGGAATTTCGTGTTTGTCGGACAGACATAGATGACACAGGTTGAAAGGCGCAGAGTGGTCGACTATGTCATATCGCTGCTTAATCGTGCCTTTGTCAGGTGGAATGGACGATATATTGTTGGAAATTTAAGAGGTGCCTTTAGCTTGTCGTGAGTTCCACTCAACATAGGTACGACATAGCTGACCAATCACGCTTCGCCTTTTAACCTATGTCTACCCAACAAACACAAAATTTCAAAAATCAGGCAGCGGGCTGATTATTTAAATTGATAGACAAAGCTATAGATAAAGGAGACAAAAGAGATAGGGAGACATCCTATTGGTGGAATCGGGTGGTTTCAATGGGAAAAAAGAGGTTGGTAATAGACTAACTAACGGCAACTCGCGAAAGACCCGATAGTAAGTCTATCATTTTCTCCCTTTGTCAATAGGAACCACCCATTTCAACCAATAGGATCGCTCCATACTCCCTATGTCTTCTTTGTCTATAGCTTTGTCCATCAATTTCGATAATCAGTCCGCTGCTGTAGGTACTCCTAAGACTAGTGTGTGGCGACTGGCGATACCGTATGCACAAGGTCCGAGCTCTGATCTTCGCTCAGTAAATACAGGTATACAATTTTTTTCATAAAAACCGGGAGTGTTGTACATATTTTAATTTTTTATGACTTCGGTGAACACAATTTGCCAAAATTCGCGGAAATAATGATTGATTTAAACGAATGAGTCCCGAAAAGCACTCGCAGCCCGCGATTATCTCATAAGCCACCGTGTTAAAAAATGCCGAACGGTTCCCAGATGGTTCTCACCTTCCGGCGAACAAGGGGCTCGGAATGGCACGTTCATAGAATGACTTCATCGGCGCTCCAGTACATTGTGACTCTATCGTACTCTATGGTTACACTGAGAAAGATCAGGGCCGGATTTACCTACTTGCCGCCCATGGGCCGCCTGTATTTTTCCGCCCCCTTCTCATTTGTTAAGTGAACGCACTGGTGGGGGAGGGTTGTATGAGACGCGTTTACTCGTGTTGGACACATTTTTTGTGAAAGCCCTGTCAATACTAGCAAAAGTTCACGGAGCTTAGCGCGAAAATTAAGTTCCGTAGACCTATCTCTGTGTGGACAATACCGGTCATTTATAAGAAAAGAACGAAAACATTGTGAAAGAATATACATAAATGCGGTTTAATAATTTTAACTTCCGCCGTTGCACGGACCGCACTGTGTTTGGCGCAATCGCGCAATGCGTGAAGTATCCATGCAGTCTTGTATAGGCGCTATGCGTTTCCCGCCGACCGCTCCTGCCCGCGGTGTTTGACGCAATGCGTGAAGTATTCATGCAGTCTTGTAGGCGCTATGCGTTTCGTGCCGACCGCCGCGCTGAGGGCTTCTCCTTTTCATCTCGGTCCTCGTCATCATTGCTCTCTGAGCCGCTCCGCTCAAGGTCAAATTGCGTGTTTGGTTTCTCTCTAAACTCGACTAATTAAAGGTGTTGTCTCTTGTATCACCAAAATACGACAGAATTAGAAATTACTATATTTTTACTTTTACAGGAAATGAGAGATTTTGTCGCCTTCTCTCATTTGTAATTTATTTTCTGAATCCGATTTTTCTTCTTTTTTTGATACCTACATTCAAAAAGATTGCAAAATTTGCCGCCCCCTACATTTTGCCGCCATGAGCCGCGGCCCATTTGGCCACCCCCTCAATCCGGTCCTGAGAAAGATGTTACGTTTCAGAATTCCCGGATGAGAATTCTCGTCGAATCAAGCGGAAATCCCTTTACAGTGACTGGACGCCTCTCTGAAATGCTGATGTGATAGCGAAGAGATCCGTAAGTCCAAAAATGAAGTTCTGAGAAAATGGCCGCACTACAGCGTCTGAGCGGGTTATATTATTGAACTATAAGCCTTCGTTCTTGGTCAAATCACCACCAATCATCTAAATCTCTCAGAACTCGTTTGAATGATTAAAAATCGACCAGTTTTATTTCAATTATACAAAAAGGATATTATTAATTTTTAAGATAGGGTAGTGTTAGGCAAGCCAGCCGTAAATGCTACAAAAGTTGAACGGGTTTGTGTAAGATGCAGTAGCTGCTCCCATTCTAAGTTGGAGATCTCTATTGACGGGGTCTCTACCACTCCTTGTAATCTTCTGCATGCATTCGTGGTTGCGTTTTGGACACACAATAAACACATTTTCAGGTTAGAAATTGGCCATAAAGGGCGGCTTTTCACTTAAAAGCTCGGTTTTCATTGGCTCTCTAGTCTTGAGGAATAATACTCCTTTCGACTGTTTTGCCTGAAACTACGCTATATTTTGCGCACTTGCGACTTTCTCAAATATCTCGTTTTCATAAAAATAAGGCGAATTTTGCTGTTTTAGCTATTACAGTGATTTCATCTAAAAAAGAGTGAGACATATATTGAAAGAGAGTGGATTTAAAAAATTGGACCGTTACGGCTCCTTTCACTATCACGACAGAATAACAGACACGCCGTCTGAAACAAGGAGATTTCCTGTCGACACAATGAGAGTTCTCGTCCGGGATTTATCAATTGGAATTGCTGTTCATTAAACAGCAGAGTTTGAGTTTGAGTTTGTTTCACGATCATTTAACCGGCAGTGGACACTGAATCCTCTATGGAAAGTGTGAAGTTTCACGTTTAAAAGCAAAGTTTCAGTTTAACAAATCATGAAATTACAGTTTCCTAATCACTCAGCTGATTCTAGAGATCGTCCGATGTGATTTTTAGATTTTTGATGAAATTTTGACAACGCCAAATTAACCGAATTTCACAAAAATACAGATAAGTCGCACCAGACGTTCTCTAAGATCAGCTG